CCATTTAAACTTTACATAAGTAAAGATTGCATTATTCAATGACATGGTTCATTGACCTTTAAACCTTTAGCTATGTGCTGTAAAAAATGTAAAAATAATATGATTATTGTAGTCAGAAAAGAAGGTATTTCAAGTAGAATGGAATTAAAAATATAATGTAACTGAAATTGTAAATCCTTAAGGTATTTAAGTGTTGTCTTTAGTTTAAACAAGAAATTGCAATAACCAGTAATACAGTTTTTAAGAAGCTAATTAAGTAATGTAAAATTTAAAGTTTCAAAACAAAAATTTTTTTGGTAATATATACCATTAACATTATAAAACAATGTGTTGTGGATACCGGTTTGACTTTATGTGAGTAAAATTTGAAATGTGTTTTTTTTTTCTTATTGAAATTCTTGAAAATTTATGATAGGATGTTTTCCTAACAAAGTTAGGAATTATTGTACATTGGTTTCCAGTAACTGTTTTAGCCAATGCAATTTCAAATCAGTTAATTAATTTTTATCTTGGAATTTTTGTTTCAGCACAAAACCAATGTGATTTCGAGGATCCACACATCTGTTACTTTGTACAAGATGAATATGATGATTTTGATTGGATAAGAACATCTGGCTTAACACTCACATCTGGTACTGGCCCTGCGTATGACCACACCTACGGAACATTACAAGGTATTAAAAAGCTGAAATGAATTTAAATTTCCTATATGAAAGTGTAAATTCTTCATGAAAATATTTCTAAAACTACAAACGAAATAAATAAAATAAACTACAAAGAGATAGAACAACAATATCTCTTAAACTAAAACATTTATGTAATCATTTGCCTACAGGTTCCTACATGTACATCGAAACTTCATATCAGCGATACAACCAAACCGCTCGTCTTTGGACATTGTCATATCCCGCAACAAATGGCACATGCGTCAAGTGGTTTTACCACATGTACGGGGCCACAGTGAACACATTGAATGTGTACATAGTCAATACAGAAGGTACCGTTGGTGCACCTGCGTGGACAAATAGAAACAATCAAGGAAACATTTGGCGACTTGGAAAACTGTCAGTTGAAACAAAGACTTCCTTCCGGATAGTGTTTGAAGGAATTACAGGAAGTAGTTATACAGGAGATATTGCTTTAGATGACTTCAGGATCATCGATGGGGCATGTTTGAGAAACGGTAAAATACACTTTAATAAATATTATTTTTGCCACTAGCCTTTTCGTCTCTGCTTTCACCACCTACGCCCTATAATAACAGTCTGTGAAAAATAAAGAGGTAACTTAAATAAGTAATTTTAATATATATCCCCCACGGACTTTCTTACAAATGACTGAAACGCTCACACAGAGTGCAGCTGTAGAAAAGCTAGGAAAGCTTATAGTCTCAACTTAAAAATCAAGGGGAAACATTGCTGTAAAAAATGCTTTCCTCACACTCAAAGATCATAAATATCACCAGCAAAGCATGTGAACTCATCCAATATTGCAGATAAACAACAAACTTTTAAAAAGTAACTAGGTGTAGTGTGATAAACTCATACACAAAAACATCACTATGTCATATCATAAAAGAAGAGAAAAGAAGGCAGCACCCACAAAATTAACAACGCAACCAAATCAATTGTTACAAAGCTTGAAATTAGAACCAATTAGAAACCTGCATTGATGACGAAAGCTTTCATAACATTCAAAGACCATAACGAAAACTTTCTTCATAAACCAAACTGTAGACTCTTAAACACATCAAAAATCATAGGCAAGACCGAATAAACCATGACCGGCTCACAAAAACACAAATAAACAAATGGAAAAACACCATTTCTGTCACTGAATGATTTAAACCCATCCAGCATAAACCAAAAAGTCCATCTCTTTTAAATTTGTGGAACTCTAATTTAATATCTATCACAAATATTGCTAACAGACAATATCTAGTACGCATGAAAGCACACCAGAATCTCTGAAGACAAAGCAGATATTATTATTTACTCAAAATTGATTAGAAAAATTTAGACGACATGTTTAACATTACTTTGGAAAGTTACGGCGGAGATAAAATATGTTAATACTGTATGTCGGATTCATTTTGTTCTCTAATTACTCACCCTAAAACTTGGCAAAACCAATATCGTTTTTGAATAATTGCACTTAACATTTGGGAGTCTATACCCTACTTAGGCGTTGAACTGTCTAGTAGTAAATCATCAGGCGAATTATAAAACATGAATGACACAATATCCCCTGGTTTATAACTTTTAAATGGCTAATCAGGAAGTCGAATTAAATTACTGTGTTACAAAGGCTATTGTTTATTGATGCGATCCAGGGATTATAATTTAAATGGCTAATCAATGAGTCGGACTGTTATGTTATAGAGGCCTATTGTTCACTGTTGCATATCTGTTGCTCATTAAATATTTCTTTCCTTGACGACAAGTTGACACTAACTCATTCTTGCTATTGAGTGAGCATAGTTCTGGATGACATAATAACATACTTTTCATATAAAACAAAGATTGCAGCGCTTAGTCGTGTTTGAATATGGCTTACAGCGTTTCATAATTCTCCACTTAACAGTAAATTCTACGTTAGATCCCTTAAGGGTCCAGATATATTTACTTAACTCTGTGCTGATTCTCTTATTTACATTTCGAAGAGAATTCATGATTTCTAAATCTAGTTTTGAACTGATTTTCAGTTAAGCCTATGTATTTCTCGTGCTTATTACTGTCCTCTCTTGTTACAGTTGCTTGGTATACTATGCCTTCTGTGTTTATCATGCGTTATATAATTTAAACATATACATATAAAACTACTATTATATTCCTACATTATTTTTCTATGCCACAATTGTTTAAATTATATATTGGACCTTATATAAATCTCACTGTATTTTATTTCCTGTTTAATTATTGTATACTGTAGGTTAGTCACTAGCAATTAAGTCTTAGTATTATAAGCTGGCTCAAAAGCAACTCCAGTAATCTATCGCTTACATAATCAATGTATATTAATCGATGTATATATATAAAGACAAATGCGATTTTCATAACAATAATAATTTTATACAATTAGTATTGTGATGAGCGATGAGGTTATTTTAATACGAACAGAGTATGTCACTCAAAATGTTCAATTTTTAATTGAAGAAACTTGCGATATTGACTGCTTGAATGGCGGAGTCTGTGTCTCGGATTACGGAATCGAGAACTGTCAGTGTATGCCTGGTTTTGTTGGACCAACGTGCAATATATGTAAGTTTTTACAGCGATAATTAATGTGCATTACGTATTGAGCTAAATATAATAATAATAAACCTAATGTGCAGAACATATGGTTAAAAATGTATACAACATGATCAGTTTCTGAAAAGATTGTAAATATTATGCATAAGTGTAGGCTAATAGAATGAATATTAAAAAATTAATGTCAACATCAGTACTAAGTTTCAGTTTGCAACTGAGATAATGTATATATCTCTTCTACATCTATTATTTATTTTACTATAAAAGATCTCAGAAAAGATCAAGACTTAACTGATGCTAACTGGAGTACAGTACATAAACACAGATCTCCAGTTGCAGGTGATGGTATAACCCCATACTTCGGTTTGGGTGCTTCTAGGTGTTTATTGATTTTTTTTTTTGTCTTTTTTTATTGTTTCTTTTCTACAATATTATCGGGCGCATAGAGACCTCGTTTATTTTCGCTATAAATATTATTATTATTATTATTATTCAAAAAATAGCTCATCTGTGTTGGTGTTCGAATGTAATAAAAGTTTAAACTTTTGATCACAAACAAATTTCACGGTAAGGAAATTTGTGTTGTGATCGAAAGTTTAAACTTCTATTATTATTGTTAATATTATTATTATTAATATTATTATTTTTATTATTATTATTAAACGAAAAATAGTATAGAGACAAAACATTCAGAAAGGAAATTTATTATCTAACCATTTTAAGTTTACATAAGTAATCTTGCATTATTCAGTGACATGTTTCATTGACCTTAAAATCTTTGGCTATGTGCTGTAAAAAATGGAAAAATAATAATATTATTGTAGTCAGAAAAGAAGGTATTTAAAGTAAAATATAATTAAAAATAAAATGTAATTGAAATTGTAAATCCTTAAGGTATTTGAGTGTTAGTTCAAATAAGAAATTGCAATAACCAGTAATACAATTTTTAAGAAACTAATTAAGTATGAATGTAAAATTTAAAGTTTTAAAACAAAAATGTTTTTGGTAATTTATACCACTAACATTATGAAACAATGTGTTGTGGATACCGGTTTGACTTTATGTGAGTAAAATTTGGAATGTGTTTTTTTTTTTATTATTGAAATTCTTGAAAATTTATGATAAGATGTTTTCCTAACAAAGTTACGAATTATTGTACTTTGGTTTCCTGTATTCTGTTTTAACAAATGCAATCATAATCAGTTAATTAATTTTGTCTTGGGATTTGTGTTTTAGCACAATACGAATGTGATTTCGAAGATCCACACATCTGTTACTTTGAACAAGATAAACATGATGATTTTGATTGGAGAAGAAGATCTGGATCAACATACTTATTAAGAAGGCCTACTGGCCCTATATATGACCACACCTACGGAACATTACAAGGTATTAAAAAGCTGACATGAATTTAAATTTCCTAAATGAAATTGTAAATTCTTAATGAAAATATTTCTAAAACTACAAACGAAATAATTAAATAAACTACAAAGAGATAGAACAACAATGTCTCTTAAACTAAAACATTTATTTTATCATTTGCCTACAGGTTCCTATATGTGCATCGAAACATATTCGGGGTACAACAACCAAACCTCTCGTCTTTGGACATTGTCATATCCCGCAACAAATGGCACATGCGTCAAGTGGTTTTACCACATGTACGGAGCCACAGTGAACACATTGAATGTGTACATAGTCAATACAGAAGGTACCCTTGGTGCACCTGCGTGGACAAATAGAAACAATCAAGGAAACATTTGGCGACTTGGAAAACTGTCAGTTGAAACAAAGACTTCCTTCCGGATAGTGTTTGAAGGAATTACAGGAAGTAGTTATACAGGAGATATTGCTTTAGATGACTTCAGGATCATCGATGGGGCATGTTTGAGAAACGGTAAAATACACTTTAATAAATATTATTTTTGCCACTAGCCCTTTCGTCTCTGCTTTCACTACCTACGCCCTATAATAACAGTCTGTGAAAAATAAGAGGGTAACTTAAATAAGTAATTTTAAGATATATCCCCCACGGACTTTCTTACAAATGACTGAAACGCTCACACAGAGTGCAGCTGTAGAAAAGCCAGGAAAGCTTATAACATGCTTTTAACTTTAAAAGCATGGGAAACATTGCTAAAAAAAGGCTTTCCTCATGGTCAAAGATCGTAAATATCACCAGCAAATCAAATGAACTCATCCAACACTGCTGATAAACAACAAACTTCTAAAAAGTAACTAGGTGTAGTGCGAGAAACTCATACACAAAAACATCACTACGTCATATCATAAAAGGAGAGAAAAGAAGGCAGCACCCACAAAAATTAACTACGCAACCAAATCAATTGTTACAAAGCTTGGAATTGGAACCAAATAGAAACCTGTATTCAGGGGTGGCACCAGCGGGGGAGCCGGGGGGCAGGACCATCCCCCGTCGGGGGAGCCCCCCCCCCCCCCCGTCGGGGAGAAAAAGCAAAATTCGTGGGGGAGAAAAAAAATTATATGTATTTTTTACATATTAGTAGACTCTAAAATTGATTAAATAAGCCTTTGAAACCCCTAAATTGTTAGATTTTTCGGCAGGACCACTTTCAAAACCTTTTAATCGAAGCTCAACCACGCCCACATTGCTTTCATTGGGGAAATCTGACCCCTCGTCGGAGACCCTGTCTCTTATACACATCTAGATGTGTATAAGAGACAGACATAATACTACATTACAGACGATCTGTGGTACGATGACGTCTTCTGTGCAACTAGAGCGAAACTGGAGTGGATGTAATAAA